CATGTCAAAGTTATCGAGGTGAATCAAGTATACTGAGGCCTCAATTTACTGAGAAATGAAATGTGTCAAAAAATAAGATGGACTGAAGGATGGAGGAATGGATATGTGACACAAGTAAAACATTACTTGCAAAAGTTGATTTTAGAAAGTTTAATTACAGAATCTTAGCAGTATATATATGCTCGTTGTGGAATTTTTTCAGCTCTTGTATATACAATATTTGAATTTTTTTTTTTTTTTTTGAAACAGAGTCTCAAGTTGTCACCCTGGGTAGAGTGCCGTGGTGTTATGGCTCATAGCAACCTCAAACTCTTGGTCTTAAGTGATTCTCTTGCCTCAGCCTCCTAAGCAGCTAGGACTACAGGCACCTGCCACAACATCTGGCTATTTTTCTTTTTTTTTTTTTTTGGTTGTAGCTTTCATTTGGTGTTTGGCGGGCTGGGCTGGATTTGAACCTGCCAGCTCTGGTGTATGTGGCTAGTGCCCTAGCCACTTGAGCTACAGGCACCGAGCTAGTATTTAAAAATTTTTACAATAAAATGTTCAGAAAATAGTCACTGTATACTGCTACTAATTAGAGCAATGGTTTTTAATATATGCTATTTTACTGTTTATTCTCATGACTATGAACTATGTTCCAGTGCTCATCAGAAAACCTTTTTCTCTTTACACATTAATGTTACATCACTTTCTATCCACCATTTAACATAAATCAGTTTCAACAGAGGTAAACATGACTCCCTGTGTTAATAAGACCTGGTGAGTGCTAGCTACTTCCCTCGCTTTTTTTTCATACTATTAGGTCCACTATCTTTCCAGGGTAATTCAATAGGAAATCTTACAAACTTAAAACAAATACACACATATATACACACACTCTTACCTCAGAGTACTCAAAATAGACATTGCCTCTCTCAAATAATGTTTATTAAATTTGCACCCTTTACAACATAAAAACCAAATCCATTCAGTGCAAGGTCTTTCAAAAACAATAGCTTTAACACCTCTTACATACAGCTTACTACAAACAACTAAATTATTTCTTGACAATTTCAGATCATCACTGCAAACATTAGGTATTCTGACTGTAAAAGGACCAAAGCAGAGAACTGAACATGCAGGCTGAGTGCCTGATGGTGGGCCTGGGGCTGCAATCCTCCAATAACACAGTCCAGAGGTATATTTATTTATTCATTCAACAAGTGCCAAGAATGAAGTTAAACAACTTCTCCAGGGATGACACAGCCAGGAGTTAAGCCACATCTAGGGAACCCCACAGTTCAAAACTCAAGTCCAAAGACAGCCCACTCCGGCAGCCTATGTATGCAGATTATTACACTTATTCAGGACACTTTCCACATTTCCAGATTCTGCATTAACAAAATTCTTCAGCAAAAGACATGATATCTCATCATAAGGTTCTCTGAAACCTCTCTCTGTTACACTTAGAAGAGAATTAATAAATAAGCAGTGTTAGGATCACAAAAGCACTTTGTAAACCAAACTCCACAGACAGCACCTACATCACAAGTCAGCTTTGTTCACAAATCTGGTAGTAAGAGAACCAGAAAGTTGATCAATAAAGCAGCAGGAATAAAGTAAAGTTCTCTTTTAAATTTTTTACAGTGATGACTTTGGCTTGCTCATCAGATAAAGGGAAAGGCCCAGTGAAAAGAGAGATTAAAAATTTCAAGACATGAAAACACTGAGAGGACTCCAGAAAAAGATGGGTCTCACGTGTCAGGGGGCCAACAGCACTTGTGCAACATCAGGAGGGCCTTCATTTACCAACTTCACATAAAAATCTTTAGCTTCTGCTAAAAACCAGAAGAGGTGGCAGCATTGCTGAGCCAGCAGTCTGGCAGACAACAGCCGGCACCATGAGTGGACTCTACCTTAAACAAGGCAGGCCCTTTGGGCACCAAAGTTGCCCTCAGCCTGCCCGGGCTTCTGAATTACAGTAATAGTTTAACAGCAGTCTTAGAAAGGAGTGATGTGCAAGAAGATGGGTGATGTCTGTTCTATAAGTAGCCCACAGAGGCCAGACCTCCAGACACTACCCCTCCTCTGCAGGAAAACACTGCACACTTTTGGCAAAGAACAGCTTTGTCAGCCTCAAATAAACCTGAGACTCTTTTTGTAAAATAAGAAGCAGTCGGAAGTTCTTAGTACATTTTCACATTAATTTGTGCTCTAAGAAGAAAAGAAAGCAAAAGTGGGCTACCTTTGAAAATTCTAGTATAGTACTTTATTTTATAGTGGGCTACAGCATGATCACATGTAGCATTTATACTTAATGCAAAAGATGAGCTTCAGTCCATTTCTACAACCAAACGAGTAATAAATACAAACGTAAAACCTTTTAAAACTATAAAACTTCAAGAGAAAAGGAGAAAATTTTGGAAAAAGTGGGTTAAATTTTTTAACAAAAAGATAAACATCATCAAATTTAAAAACTTCCACTTTTTGGCACACCATTGAAAGAATGGGAAAAATCACGAACTGGGAGAAAATCTGCACATCTTTTTTTTTTTTTGAGACAGAGTCTCACTGTGTCACCAGGGGTGCCATAGCATCACAGCTCACAGCAACCTCGAACTCTTGGGCTTAAGCGATTCTCTTAACTCAGCCTTCCACAGCTGGGACTACAGGCACCCACCACAATACCAGGCTATTTTTGTTGTTGTTGTTATTGTTGTTTAGCAAGCCTGGGCTGGGTTCGAACCCACCAGCCCCAGTGTATGTGGCTGGTGCTCCAAGCACTGAGCTACAAGGTACCAAGCCTATCTGCAAATCTTATCTGATAAAGAACTCTCAAAGCCCAAAAATACAAAAAGAAACTCAGTGAATTACATATAGTAAAAGATGTATCTAAGTGCTTTACCAAAGACATGCAGATGGAAAATAAGCACATGAAAAGATGCTCAATATTATTAGTTATTAAAAAAGTTTAAATGTAAACTATAATGACATATTACTACACATTCACTAGGATGGCTAAAATTAAAAAGACTGACAATACCAAGTGTTGACAAGGATGTGGAGGAATTAGAACTCCCAGACACTGCAGGTGGGAATGTAAAATGGTACGTTCACTTTGGAAAACAGTCTGGCAGTTACAAAGTCAGACATATGTCTGCCGTAATAACCAGCCACTCCACTCCTTTGCATTTACTCAAGGGAAATAAACACATAAGTCCACATAAAAACTTGTACATGAATAGTTACAGAAGTTCGTAACAGCCAAAAATCGCAGATAACCCAAACGTTCATCACCTGCAAATGGATAAGTATGGTATTTCCACACAATGGAATACTACCTAAAATACAAAGGAATGAACTACTGATTGATGCATACTATTGCATCAAGTCAAAATAATGCCAAATGAAAGAAGACAGTCCAAAAATTAAAAAGTATGTTCTATATAACCCCATTTAACAAAATTGTAATAAATACAAACACATCAATAGTTAAGAGAAAAAAGATCAGTGATTTCCAAGAGACCAGGAGACATTAGAAATGAGCAGGAGAAAATTTTTTCAATGATAAGTATGCTCTCCCCCAAACACGTCACAGAGAGTTATCAGACTGTATGCTTTAAATATGTGCAGCTTTTATGTTATGTATACCTCAAGAGAGCTGTTTAAAAAAAAGGTTAAACAATCAGAGATGATTCACAGAAGGAGAAGGGTGGTGCCATGAGCCATTAAAGAATCCAGTGAGTGACAGCATGTAACTACTGATCCCAAGGAAAGAACACTGCATAACAGACTAAAAGACAGGTGCAAATCAGCAGGGACAGCTAGCCTAGGTGGCAGGGAAGACGGGAGGCAGGATCACAAGAGAAAATCAATCTGAGAAGAATAAACGGGCTAATGTGGCAAAGAGCTAGGAGTCTCTTGGCTTAACGGTATCTTATAGTCATAGGAAATCACTAAGAAAAACTTCACCTGGAAACATGGCTTTGGTTTATATGGGAAAAAGCATTAACCTTGGGCCAGGAAGCCTCGGGCAGGAAGATTAAGTCCCAAAGGTTCTTCTCTGGGTATGAGCTAAGGCTGAACAGAGGTGGTCACAGTGAAGATGAAAAGAAAGAGATGGATGTAAGTTTAGAATACAAGGCAGAATTTTATGATTAACAAAATAGGAAGGATTTGGGGAAAGACCTTTGCCATTTCCTCTTCCATCAAAGGCAACTGTGTGAGGATAGTGCTGAGGAACAAAGAACTCCCCCAGTAGCCCCACGAGTAAGACCTTGAGACAAAGTTGAGCTCTTACGTCACCGTGTGGGCCACCACTGCTGCTGTGCAACAGCCAAGTCCTGTGTGGATAAAGCCCAAGTGTGCAGCCTCAGGAGGACATCCTGCGAAACACACTGGATGCAAACTCAACCAATTCCACTCTCAGTTTTGTTTGTTTTTTCAGATTATTATGAGGGTACATACAATTAGGTTACATAGTTTCCATTTATAAGGTTAAAGCCCAAGTTGTACCTGTCCTTCCCCAGAAGTGTGGCATATACCCATGCATTGTGCCTATTGGCTTCCACTTTTCAGTTTTAATAGTGATTTCTATAATCTAGAAAACAGTCTTATCCACCCCACATGGAAAATATAATCAAAGTGCTAAAACACTGTAGAAAAATCAGAAAACATCTCTAAAAATGTCAGCAACATGGAAATTCTACCTCTTAGAAGTGACAATGTTCCGTTTCTAAAGGCAACACTATCTCACAAACAGATGACCTGGCACAAGGAGTTGCCTCTAACAATCTAGTGATTAAGATGAAGATTTGTGTTGTAGGAGGACATGAGAAACACTATCTAAAGTTCTACCTGCAAAAAGAATGAAGCTTTTATTGTACCTCTCAACAGTCTACTTACATGACCTGAGCAGTTAACTCCAAGTCCTAATTCTATACCCACTCTTCTCAAAAATCCACCCTCTTTTCCGTCTCCCCCAGCTGTGCAGACAGAGCATCTTAGCACCGAGCACTTACCTGTTTGGAAGGTAGGATTTGCTCCAGGGTACATGTTAGGAGAATAGGCAGGAGCTGCTGCTGTGTAACTCATGGGGAAACCAGCTGGAAAAAAATACAGAACCACATGATGTGAATCAATTGAAGCAGTTGTGCAGAAGTGCCAGAGCTCCCAACTTACTCCTACCTTCCTCACCAGAACTCCACAGGCAGACTTAGGGAGCTACAGGAGTACTATGTGTGCCCAACACCTTATCTCTAGTTGTCATCTAGCCTCACAATTTTCATGGGTCACACTCAGGATTGTGTCTTTTAAACCTATGAGTAAGTATTTAAAACTTCCTACAAATAGAAAATTTGGGCCAGACATGGTGGCTCCCACCTATAATCCTAGCACTCTGGGAAGCCAAGGGAGAAGGCTACCTTGAGCTCAGGATTTCAAGACCAGCCTGAGCAAGAGTGGGACCCCATCTCTATTAAAAATAGAAAACACCAGGCAAGCATGGTAGTACATCCGTGTAGTCCAAGCTACTTGGGAGGCTGAGGCAAGAGGATTGCTCAAGACTAAGAGTGTGAGATTGCTGTGAGCTATGACGCCATGGCACTCTACCCAGGGCAACAGAGTAAGACTCCTTCTTAAAAAAAAAAAAAGAAAAAGAAAAAATTTCACAGAAACTGAGAAGTCTACTGTCATCAAGCACAAAATCAACCATAAAGCCAAAAAAAAAAACAAACCCAAACCCAACCTGGAGTCAGAAAATCCCCAACACTTCTGGCGGTTTGATTCCAGACTAATCACATCATTTATTACTCAGTAAAAGTAATAAGAGGGCTAAGAGTATCATGTGTTAGATCTATAACTCTCATCTGGTCTCACTGCCAAAAGTCTGGAAGAACCAAAATGCAAATCTAATGTGAACTCAAGGGTTTGTTTTTCCTACTACAGTGAGCAGGAAAAGGTGTTTTAAAGCCTCTCAATCTCGGCTCGGCGCCTATAGCTCAACTGGCTAAGGCGCCAGCCACGTACACCTAAGGTGGCGGGTTCAAATCCCCAGCCCGGACCGGCCAAACAACAATGACGGCTGCAACCAAAAAATAGCCAGGCGTTGTGGCGGGCACCTGTGGTCCCAGCTACTTGGGAGGCTGAGGCAGGAGACTCGCTGGAGCCCAGGAGTTGGAGGTTGCTGTGAGCTGTAATGCCACGGCACTCTGCCCAGGGGGACAGCTTGAGGCTCTGTCTCAAAAAAAAAAAAGCCTCTCAATCTCACTGAATCCAAAGACATATCCCACATTCTTATTTATTTTCAATTACAAGTTACTATTTTTTTTTTTGTTTTAAGGCACTGTTTAAATCAGACATCCTTAAACTACGGCCCTGTGGGCCACATGAGGCCCGCCTAGGACATTTATCCGGCCCGCCGGGTGTTTTTGCCACCACTGCCTGTCCTGCTTAGCAGCCGACTCGTCCTGGGGCCTGCAGTCTGGCCCTCCAACGGTCTGAGGGACAGTGAACTGGCCTCTGTTAAAAAGGTTGAAGACCCCTGGTTTAAATCTTCTAAATTCATTTCAAGTTTCTTCATATTCTGAGTTCTAATGTCCAACTCCTCCAATGCAGGGCAGCCAGCTGATAAGGTCTAAATGCCCCCTCCAAAACTCACAATGAATTTAACTGCCATTTTATCAGTGATGAGAGGTGAACCTTTAAGAGATGATTGGGTCATGAGAGCTGTCCTCACAGACTACTGCCATTACTGCAGGAGTAGGACAAGCTGAACCCCCCTTTCCTCTAACTCGCTGGCTTGCTCTTCAGCATTCTGCTGTGAGAAGATACAGCAAGAAAGCCCTCACGAAATGCTGGTGCCCTGCTCCTGGACCTCCCAGTCTCCAGAACCAGGTGCCAAATAAATTTCTGTTCATTATAAATTACCAGTCTATGATATTGTTACAGTAGCAAAAAACAACTAAAGATGCCAATCACAAACCCAAGCTGTAAATGTCATTAAGCTTCAGTCTTCTTAAAGAAGGGGATCTAACTGGCATCGTAGACACATGGAAACAGGGAAAACAATTACAATCCACATGAAAGCAAGTTGAACTTTATTATTAATAAAACAAATGAAGAATCTTAGTAATAATAAACCATGACTGCTAATAATGCATACCATGTACACAACGGAAACATCAAATAAGACACTCAGTGCTACAGGCAGAGTCCTGTTCCCCAGTATCCACCAACAGAAGAGCTTCAGCTGCCTGCCTTGGCTTTCCACAAAGCCCCAGAGACCCGTCAGGCCCCTGCTCCCCTTTCGCCTGAGGCCCTGGTTCACAATACAGAAGGTGTCACCCACGTGACAGCTGGGACATTAGAACCCCTTCTTCATATGCAGGGCACAAAATCAACAAGACGACCCAGGTTCACTAGACTTGACTCCTGTCCTGACTAGTTGTGAGAAGACGTAACTTTTCTATTCCTCTCTTCTCTTACCTGTTAAGTAAAGCTCCAAGAATGAACAGTCTTCAAAACCAACCATGCTGAGGCACAGAGAAAGATGTCTCTCAGGGCACTTGGAGAGGTCACTTTAGGTGGTATCATGATCCCTTAAGGAATCTTGGTGATAACAATACCCAAAGCAAAGAAACCCTATGGCAGCGGTTCTCAATCTGGGGGTCGAGACCCACAGGAACTGTATTAAAGGGTCGCAGCATTAAGAAGGTTGAGAATCAGTGCCCTAAGATGAGAACTCAGGACAGGGGACTCTTGAGTGGAATTCCAAAGGGAAACTCCTTTTAAGTGGGTTTTACTCACAGGTTCTGAATGAAGCGCTTTACCTGAATCCATTCCTGCAGTGTCCCCAGCCTGGGCACCCTTGCTCCACTGCCCAGCCTCCCACCGTCCTGCAGTGGGAGGAACGGGAATCCTCAGTCCCGATGGCCCCAAGGAATTTCTACATGTACCCAGTTCTCATCTCTTGTCCCTGCTCCAAAGCTGCTTTCTTCTGTCAGAAACATCCTCCCTACCTCAGCAGAAGTTATTTTGGGCTTCGCCCCAACCCCGCAGAGTCTCACTTTTCCATCTGCACTCTCTAATTACTCAAAGAATGGTCTGTTGGCATCGAATGTTTTATCAAATGTACTCATTTTGGACATCAAGGGCAGATTCAACTTGAAAACAGACCTAAAATGGCCATTAAAAGACAGGACAGTGGTTCCACAGACCATGAGAAACTCCTCAGAGGCCCAGCTGCAAGCAGAGGACGGCCAGGCAGCCTGTGGAGCTGCCTCAATCCCCACAGATGCAGGTGTGACAAAGCTTAGACACCAGGAACCAGCGGTTTCATTGTTTAAAAAAATGTCTGAGACACCACTAACCTAGAGCACATCCTACAGGTCTTTATAATAATTTCCACAAAATTTAAATTCTGCATCTTATGTTTAAAGGTCCCTAGAAAACTTTTTTGTCTGCTTAGTGCTTTCCTACTTCAACTTTGTTGTAAGAATGAGTTACCATATTCCAAAATGAAACAGAAAACACACATAAAACAAAATTAAAATCCGTCACTATACACTAGCAACTACACACCTGGTCCTCTAGTATGGGAGTCAGTCACCCAATCTCCTAGGGTGTCTCTGCTCCTTTCCCACCCTCAACCCATCAGCCACACCCCATCTCCTCTGCCACTACCCTGACCTGCCACCCCCACCCAAGCATGGTATTTCTCACCTCACTATCTACTTCTCCCTGGCTGCACAAAACTCACAGGGGCACCTTTAAAAGAATCCTAGCAACACTCTGCCTCAGCTTACCTTAGGAGGAGGACCAGCTTCTCATCTTCTGTCAACAGCTAATCTGCTGGGTTCCAAGCAACAGGCTTCAGAGCCACTGTTTCTTTTTTGTTGTTATGTATTTTTTTTATTAAGTCATTTGTACATAGATCATGAATACATTTATGCCATTATGGGATTCAATGTGTTGATTATTTGTACAAATTGGAGTGCTTACATCCTACTAATCAACATAGCCTTCACCTCATTTACCCAATTACACCTGATAGATCCAACTTGTACCTGCAATATGCTCCATAGGTGTGGTCCCCCTACTGGCCCTCCCTCTATCCACCCACCCCCTCTTCCCCTCTTCCTCCCTTTCCCTCCTTCATCCTGGGCTATAGTTGTGTTTCATTTTTCATACGCAAGCGTGAGTGATAGTAAATTGGTTTTACAGTAGTACTGAGTACACTGGGTATTTTTTTGTTTCTTGCTGTTTCTGCTGACTGTCCTGGCCACAGTATAGTTTTCCGAAAAGTGCACATTTATCCTCAGAGGATACCAAGATTCTCTCCTCAGCATCTACACTAGCTCCCTTCCAGCACTGGGAAGCTGGAAAGGCCAGACTCCCCTAGAGCAAGGGAGTGAAGTGATCCTAACAAGATCCTAAACCCCAATCCAGTGTTTTTCAATCTTATTTTTATCTAACAGCACACTTGAACCTACAGTTAAACTTCCACAGTACACTTAAATTATATTGATAAAGGTTTGGTGCCTGTAGCAGTGTTACAGCACCAACCACATACTCCAAAGGTAGTGGGTTCAAACCCACCCGGGTCAGCTAAAACAACTGCAACAGCAACAACAACAACAACAAAAATAGCTGGGTGCTGCAGCAGGCGCATGTAGTCCCAGCTACTTGGGAGGCTGAGGCAAGAGAATCACTTAAGCCCAAGTGTTTGAGGTTGCTGTGAGCTGTGACACCACGGACGGCACTCTACCAAGGGTGACATAGTAAGACTCTGTCTCAAAAAAAAAAAATTATATTGATAAAAAGAAAGAGTTAAAAAAAAAAAAGAATATACTTACTATGCTTTGAAGGCCTTTCAAAAATAATTAATGGTCTTTAAAATTTTTTGCAGTACACCTAACATCCTCTCATGGCACACCAACTGAAAATCATACCCTAATCATTTTTATGAGAATGTTCACTTTATGGAAACAAAACAAAAACTTCAGAACAGAAAAAAAAAAAAAAAAAAAATCAGGGCAGCCCCTGTGGCTCAATGGGTAGGGCGCTGGCCACATACACCAAGGCTGGTGGGTTCAAACCCGGCCCGGGCCAGCTAAAATGACAAATGCAACCAAAAAATAGCTGGGCGTTGTGGCAGGCACCCGTAGTCCCAGCTACTTGGGAGGCTGAGGCAAGAGAACTGCTTAAGCCCAAGAGTGTGAGGTTGCTGTGACACCACGGCACTCTACCCAGGGCAACAGCTTGAGACTCTGTCTCAAAAAAAAAAAAAAAAAAATCATAAGCTAGGCAATCAAAAGGCAAATTCAGAGAAATATATGCAAATTATTCAGATAAAGTGCTAATACCCTTAATATCAAGCAACTTGGAACAAGAACAACAAAAACCCAACAGAAAAAAAACATCAAGTCACAGACAGACAAAACTCTACACTACAACCATAATGATGCTATTTCCCACAAACTGACAAAAGCCCAAAAGCTGGATAACGCATTTCATTAGCAAGGTTATAGGGAAAATCTCACCTGCTTCTCATGGGAGTACAACACAGGAAAAACCCTATGGAAGAGAACTTGGCAGTATCCTAACTGTCTATGCATTTGCTCTCTGATCCAGCAATCCCACTGCTAGGAATCCTCTTTGAGGACCATGCCCACAAACACCATCAACGTAAACATAGGACTATTAACAGCAGCATTACTGGAATAGCAAACATTTCAAACAACTTCAACACCCATCACAAGCAAAGTGGTTGAATAAACTGTAAAAACCCCACAAGACGGAAGTTATGCAACAGTATTATAATAAAAAAAAAGAACAGAGCAAACCTGTGTGAACTGCAATGGAGTGATTCCTAGCGTACATTAAGTTCACAAAGCAAAGTGAACAGGCCTGCATCTCTTTTCCAAAAAGAACCTACGGTTCAGCTACGAGAAATACATAACGGAGGCCTCCTCCAACTGCCAGTCCCGACTCCAGAGCACCCTAGGCTGGCCGAGACTCCAGAAGCAGAGGCTCTTCCTAATTCTGCTTCCTGACCCCTTGGTTTATTCCTCTCAAAGAACGTTTGCTTTCCTAATACCATCCCAGTGTCCACTACCATTTTTATAACAAAGGACAAATTAGAACACATGAAATTGTTGACCTGGGGTTATTTATGGATTCTCAGCCTGAGTAAAAGGTCAAGTCTAGGCCTCTTCCCTGGACAGAAGGCCACAGCTAGAGGACAGAGAACAAACATGGGTTCTGGAGGTCTTACAAGGCTGCAATGATAAAATTGGACCTTTTAGGAGCTTCAAAGGCAGCAGAAGTCCTCTTTTAAGACATGCCAAATTATAAACAGTACCCCAGCACAAAGTTAAAAAGCAAAACACAAAAATATCTGAAATGAAAAAGAGTATTTTGCTCTCCTGGTGCTGAAGAGACAAAGATCTGAGTCAGGATTCACAAAAGAGGATGGGCTGCGCAGAGCATGCCAGGTTGATCAAAGCTCAATACTCCAAGATAAGGACAAAACAAAGGGAAAATGTACCTCACCAAAACTGAAATGCACCTAAGCCCAGCTCCTGAGTGGATGAAGACTACTTGCCCAGCAAAAGACACCCATGAAGGGGGGGGAGGGGCTGCCCATAGCTCAGTGGTTAGGATGCCAGCCACATGCTTTGGAGCAGGTGGGCCCGAACCCGGCCAAGGCCTGTTAAACAAATTAACAAACAAACAAACAAATAAAAAATAGTCAGGCATTGTGGTGGGCGCCTATAGTCCCAGCTACTAGGGAGATTGAGGCAAGAGGTTCACTTGAACCCAAGAATTTGAGGTTGCTGTGAGCTAAGACACCATGTCACTCTACCAAGGGTTACTAAGTGAGACTCTGTCTCATTAAAAAAAAAAAAAGACTTTTTTAATACATGGATTTTATTGCAATTTAGAACAGAATTAGCAAAATTAGTGAAATGGAAGCAGACAAGTAGAAACTACCTATATTAAAGCTCATAGAGAAAAAAAATGTGAACACAAAAATGAAGCAAGAGGACAACATCGTCCTGGAGACAACACAGCGTCACAGCCTAATATACTTGTAGATGGAGTCCCTAGAGAAGATACAAGGGGCAGCAAAAATATCTGAAAAGCAACCGTTAATGCTGGAGGAAATCGATCAAGAAGTCAATGAACGCTCTGTATATTCAGCAAGGTAAACACAAAGAAAATCTCATCTAGTAAAACAAAGATACTTCCTTTCTGCAGAGCTCTCAGAAAGGAAACCTGCCAACTGAGGCATATCCCAATTACAACAACCACTGCGATATATGACACACCATGCTGTTCGTTCATTATCGTAAAAAGAACACATCTGTCACAGTAGGAAATAAGGGTCTCTTTTCATGATTTTTGTAAATATTTCTGTTTGTATTTGCAAAATGAAGAATACATTCAGGCTCTTGCACCAAAGGAACATCTATCGTCATTTGTTTCCAGTCAAAAAGTGTTTTGGTTTTTTGTTTTGTAGTTTTTGGCCAGGGCTGGGTTTAAACCCACCACCTCCAATATATGGGCCCGGCGCCCTACTCACTGAGCCACAGGCATCACCCCATCAGTCAAAAAGTTAAAAGCAGCAGGGGGAACAAAGGATGGGGGTAGGAGGGGAGGAGAAAAGGGACAAAATTTCAAAGAAGCAGAAATTATTCGGACAGAAATCAAGATAATACAATCACATCTTTAAAGTGCTGAGAGAAAATAACTGCCAACGTAAACTCTGTATTACAGTGGTAGGCAAAAGAGGGGGAGGGGCCAAAGATACCATGTAGATAGAAACCCAATTATATCAGTTACCTACATTACTACAATTAAAAAACAAAGCATTTTTAGGAAGATCTCACACTTTTCCACTAAACATAAATGGAAATGGACTCTTACTCACCAGCCAGTAAGAGTATGAAATGGCATAAAAGTACTTTCTTTTTTTTTTTTTTTTGCAGTTTTTGGCCGGGGCTGGGTTTGAACCCACCACTTCCGGCATATGGGGCCGGTGCCCTACTCCTTGGAGCCACAGGCGCTGTCCTAAAAGTACTTTCTTTTCTCATGTCTTCTCAGCTTTTGGTACTAAAGTTATGCTGATCTCAAAATCCCATGCACATAATCCCATATCCGAGTTAACTCCCTGGTTTAAACGGCCTGGAGTGGTTACTAGTTCCTGCACTGAGCCCTCACTGATAATGTAGTTTTAGAAAAGTCAAAGACACTAAAAACATCAAAATCAAGAAAATAAGTAATATGGCTTGGTGCCTGTGGCACAGTGGTTATGGTACCAGCCATATACACCAAAGTTAGTGGGTCCGAACCCGGCCCAGGCCAGCTAAACAACAACTGCAACAAAAAAATAGCCGAGTGTCGTGGAGGGCACCTGTAGTCCCAGCTACTTGGGAGGCTGAGGCAAGAGAATCACTCGCTTAAGCCCAAGAGTTTGAGGTTCCTGTGAGCTATGACACCACAGTACTCTACCCAGGGCAACATAGTGAGACTCTATCTCAAAAAAGAAAAAAAAAAAAAAGTAATAAAAGGAGGAACTTGGCACCCGCAGCACAGTGGTTACAGCGCCAGCCCGCCACATACACTTCATTGTCTCCCTCACTCATAGCCCACCTTTGACTAGCTGACTCCACTCGGTGAGGAACACGGTGCAGGCCTAAGTTAGTCAGTAGAATCCCCTGGCCATGGCCCGGGGATAAAAACTAAATTCAATCAGAATAAACTCCAAGACTGGCTTGAATAGAAAATAAGAAGCCCCCTTGGGCTTTCCTGTAGGACAGAAATGAAGAGGCTTCTAGTGAGGGCTGAACCTCACAGAGACTGCCAAGAGGAAGAATGGGACCTGTGGCCAACAACAAGCCAATACTGAGGAACTGAAGTTCAAAACAGGAGGCAGAGAAATGAGATCATCATCCCAACTGCTAGAGCCATCAGATCAAGTAGTGACCTAATGCCAGTATAGCTCTTAACTTTTTAATTCCATATAGTTTCTTCCTTGTCTAAGCCACTAGGTTTGTCAATAAAAAGCATTCTTACTGACAATGAAATATACCAAGTGTTCAAAGTTCAATAATGAAAACAAAATTTTACTTGCTCACCTGGATAACCAATTCCTTTGGCATTTGCATAGGGAACCCCAGAAGATCCAGGGCTATAAACAGGATTCATGATTTCAAGAACTAAAAGAGAAAAAAAAAAGTGATTTAGCTGAGACCCTTTTCCTCAGATTTTTCTCCATCATGAGTCCCAAAATAGCAAGAGTCCTTTCTCCAGTATACTGTAAACGATATACTCCATGCAGCTCCCAAATGGCACAGAACAGAAAAGAAACACCCAGTGCCCCAAACAGGACACTGTGAACGTTCCTTTACAACTCTCTTCAGCCTATCAGAGCGAAGGGGACAGTGTTACTTCTATCTTCTACAAATAACCTAAATGTTCTTGAAACACAAGAAACAGTTGAGTAGGCTCGGCGCCTATGGCAAAAGTGGCTAAGGCGCCAGCCACATACACCTAAGGTGGCGGGTTCAAATCTAGCCCGGGCCTGCCAAACAACGACGACGGCTGCAACCAAAAAATCGCCAGGCGTCGTGGCAGGCGTCGTGGCGGGCGCCTGTGGTCCCAGCTACTTGGGAGGTGGAGGTAGGAGACTCACTTGAGCCCAGGAGTTGGAGGTTGCTGTGAGCTGTAATGCCACGGCACTCTACCCAGGGGGATAGCTTGAGGCTCTGTCTCAAAAAAAAAAGAAAGAAAACAGTTGAGTAACCCAAGATATACCCAGAGTATCATCATGCCAGCTGCTTTAAAAAAAAATACTTAAAAACATAGCAATGATACAATGCTAAGTGGGAAAAAAAAAGTAAGATACTGCAGTGTTTTACCCAGCGCGATCCCAAAGTCAAAGCTAGGCATGCACTTCTGGCACAATCAGAAAAAAGTCTGGGGTGGCGCCCGTGGCTCAAGGAGTAGGGCGCCAGCCCCATATACCAGAGGTAGTGGGTTCATAACCCAGCCCTGGCCAAAAAACTGCCAAAAAAGGAAAAAAGTCTGGAAGGAAATGTAAAATATGAACAGTGACTGCTACTATATAGAGTAGGTTTAGTGTTCCTTTTGCACTTTCCTGTATTTCTTAACTTCCATTAAATATATTTTTTTCCAAAAAAGAATAAGACAAATTAGCTATAGCTCAGCAACTCAAGTAACCCACTCAATGGTCTATCATTCACAGGTCTCTTTTCCTGAAAAGTTCAAGATCGTGTGCAGTTATAACCATGATTCTACCCCTTCCCCGATATAAACATTCTCCTTAGTGTTTCCAGCAAGCTCTCTGAATGTTATCACCCAGTACACTCTAAAGTGTGAGCTCTCACTACTCCTCATCTGGTAAATCACTGACTTACATGGATGTAAATTAAGGTGAACTTTAATTTAAAACAGTGTTTCTCAACCTGTGGGCCACGACCCACAGGAACTGTGTTAAAGGGCCGTGGCATTAGGAGGATTGAGAACCACTGATTTAAAATAAAAACAGCATGGGGGGGGAGATGCTTGGAATTCTCTGTACCTTCTGCTCAATTTCTCTGTCCAACCTGAAACTGCTCTAAAAATAATCTACTTTTGAAATTTAAAAAAGGAAAAAAGATTAGCCAGACACAGTGGCTCACAACTCTAATCCTAGCACTCTAGGAGGCTGAGCAGAAGAACTGCTTTGAGCTCAGGTGTCAGAGACCAGACTAATCGAGATCAACACCCCATCTCTACTAAAAATAGAAAAATTAGGGCTGGGCGCAGTGGCTCGCATCTGTAATCCAAGCACTCTTGAGGCCAAGGCAGGTGGACAGTTTGAGCTCATGAGTTCGAGACCAGCCTGAGCAAAACCAAGACCTCGTCTTTTTTTTTTTTTTTTTTTTTTTTTGCAGTTTTTGGCCAAGGCTGGGTTTGAACCCACCACCTCTGGCATATGGGGCCAGCGCCCTACTCACTGAGCCACAGGTGCTGCCCAAGACCTCGTCTTTATTAAAACAGAAAACATTTCATAAAAAAGTGTAAGAAAATATAAGTAGGTTTCATGGGAGTACTGAGTACACTGGATACTTTCCCCTCCATTCTTGAGACATTTTACTCAGGAGGATATGTTCCAGGTCCCTTCATGAAAATATAAAAGAGATATAGGCTTCATCTTGTTTAAGGCTGCATAGTATTCCATGGTATACATATACCACAATTTATAGCCCAGGAAGTACAGAAATGGAGTGGGAAGGAGGGGAGGGGAAGGTTTGACAGAGGGAGAGTAAAAGGCAGGACCACACCTATGGAGCATATGACAAGGGTACAAGTCAAATCTGTGAAGTGTAGAACATAGATGTTTTGACACAATAATCAAGTAAATGAGGCGAAAGCTATTGTTGATTGATTAATGTAACCATGTCAGATTGTATAAAAAAAAAAACACAGCACACTGTACCCCACATATGCATGAATGTATTCATGATCTATGTGTATTTGACTTAATTAAAAAAAAATAAAAAATAAAATAGAGAAACTGAGGCAAGAGGCTTACATGAGCCCAAGAGTTGGAGATTGCTGTGAGCTACAACACCACAGCACTCTACCTAGGGCAACAGCTTGAAACTCTGTCTCAACAAAAAGAAAGAAAAGAAAAGAGAAAAATTAGCCAGGCATTGTGGCAGGTGCCTGTAGTACCAGCTACTCAGGAGGGTGAGGCAAGAGGATTGCTCAAGCCCAAGAGTTTGAAGTTGCTGTGAGCTAGGCTGATACCATGGCACGCTCTAGCCTGGACAACAGAGAAGGAGCGAGGGAGAGAGGGAGGGAGGGAGAGAGGAAAGGAAAGAGGGAAGGAAGATAAGAAGAAAAAGATTAAATGTGCATTTATTTGCTTGTTTAGTGTCTGACTTCCCCACATCCTCAACTAGAATGCAGTAGCCCATGCAAACTGGGAACATATACTTGGTTTTGTTTATTGTGGTTTATCTCCAGCACCAATGACAATGTCTAGTATAAAATATGGTGCAACCATCTGCTAACTTTCTCAAAAACACATGCACTCAGAACACTCTACTTAACAAGTTCCATTACAAAGACAAAATAAAAAAAAATACACTGTATATTTTCAGCTTATGTGACTCATTTAGAATATTCACAATGAAGCAGTCCAATAAAAATAATAATAGGTCATATCCTTAGCCTCTGTTACAAGTAGTTCTGCCTAAATCAGGAATAAATTAGTGTATCCATGATTACAACATTCATTACCCAAACAGTCCAGTTCTTTCAAACTTCTAAACCAAAGCCAGGAGCCAGAGGTGGGTGGACTACTTGAGCTCATAGGATAGAGATCAGCCTGAGCTACAGTGAGACCCCACCTCTAAAAATAACTGGGCGTTGTGGTGGGTGCCTAAGATTGTCTGAGGTTGCTGTGAGCTATGATGCTACAGCACTCCACTAGGGAGTTAAGACTGTTTCAAAAAGAAAAAAAAACCAAACAAAGCCAGACGCCAAATTTGTCATAATATCCACAACTATAGCTAAGTGACAAGTGTTGATCGGCACTGTCCAAAAGAACTCTCTGCAGTTATGGTGTTCTCGGTGCTGTCCAACATGGCAGCCACTTGCCTGCCAAGTGACAAGTGAGCAGCTGAAAACTGTGGCTTCTGTAAGATCTTTTAGCTTTATCTAACTACAGTTTAGTCACGTGTGGCTACGGGCTACTACACTGGACAGCATAGATCTACAGACCAAAGTAAAGAGAAAGTACGGAAAGCACAGCAGGCAGACAGGAGAATCACTCGCATGTTTTAACTCATGGCTGAAGAACACATTAGCAGATGGCAATTCCTATTCCCTTGCACTCTCAACCCATTCCTGGTAGATCTACAACATAGAAACCGTGGAGCCTCTCAAATATTGCATCTACTTCTCTGGTTCAACTACTATCTCTAGAAAAGTGAATACACCCCCAATACTGTAATATTTCTCTGTTCTATGCCAGAATCTAATCTTCTCTTTTTCAGTGCGGTTGGGGGTTAGCTGGGGTCTTGTTTTGGGTGGGGAACACGAGTCATGCCTATAATCCTATCACTTTCGGAGGCTAAAACAGGAGGATTGCTCAAAGTTAGGAGTTTAAGACGGGTTCTCTTTCTGTCACCCAGGATGCAACACAGTGGTACCATCATACTCACTGCAGCCTGGAACTTCTAAGCTAAAGAGATCCTCCTGCCTCAGCCTCCTGAATAGCTGGTACTACACGTGTGTGTCACCACATCTGGCTAATTTTTGTTTATTTTTTTTAGGAACAAGGTCTCACTGTGTTGTCCAGGCTGGTTTCAAACTCCTGGCCTCAAGTGATCCTCCCATCTTGGCCACCCAAAGTGCTGGGACTATAGGTTGAGCCTAAATTTAATTTTATACACCCCCAATACTGTAACATTTCTCTGTTCAAAGTGCCGAGACTACAGGTGTGAGCCTAAATTTAATTTTCTTAGTCAAATCCAAGATTAGGAAAGCACCAGCTTGGTGCCTGTAGCTCAGCACATACAACTGGGACTGGCAGGTTCAAACCCAGCCCAGGCCAAACAATGACAACTACCAAAAAAAGTAGCCAGGCATTGTGGCAGGCGCCTATAGTCCCAAGCTACTTGGGAGGCTGAGGCCAGAGAATCACTTAAGCTCAAGAGTTTGAGGTTGCTGTGAGCTGTTGATACCACAGCACTCCGTGGAGGGCAACACAGTGGGAGTCTGTCTCAAAAAAAAAAAAAAAAAAAAAAAAAATAAGGGAAAAAAGAAAGATTAGCAAAGCACTATTCAAAAGTCCATGTAGAGAAGATCATAGTCCCTAAGTTAACAATCTAGAAAAGCTGTCCAACAATCCTGTCTGGAAAGATGAAAAGTTATCTCTGTACTGTCCAAATATAGTAACTGAATTTTTAGTTTAACTTTAATTAACTTAAAACAGTCCCATGTAGTTGACAGCTATTGTACTGGACAGTGCAGGCTTATGATTAATAATGGTAATACAAGGCAAAGACTGTTAAGAGTCACTAAGACAATAAAGTGTTCCAAGGGTAGAGAGGGAAAACAAAAATTCAATGGGGGAGGGGAGGAAATGGTCAGAAAAAAACTTGATTAAAGCAGCAACATTTCAATAAACAATCGATAGGAT